TGACTGGTCAACCAAAACCTGGTCAACCTGGTCAAAAGAGCGTTCTTTAATACCCGCATATTGAGGATATAAAAAGAATGCACAGTGCATATATTTTCTAGCATCACTTGAAACACACTGCCGATGCACCGTTTTTCTCATTTACCTGTCCGATCAGTCTGTTCAAATTTGTATAAGTCGGCCGCTCGATGTCGAGATTTCTTCGGCAAATATCATAAATTGCCTCATTGTCCACCATGAACGAACAGTCCGAATGCTCCAAGGTCGTGTGAGTGGTCAAGATGGAGTTGTAGGGTTCAACGACAGCAGTGGAAACCTAAATATGTTTAATATTAAATATATTCTCATCACTTAATTGAACAATGAAGACGTCACCAATAGGCAATAGCCAATTGGGTCCTTGTACTTTCCAATAAGTTCTCCCTATTTAGATTCGCAACCAGAAATAACTCAATTTAATCATAAATCATCCTTTATGCACATGCCCTTACTGCCGTCATTGATTTAAAAAAATACAAAACCCCCCTGTATAATGATACATGGAAGGCACTGTACGCAATGTCCGGTACGAGAAGACCTGTGTTTATTTACCGTCTTACCTGGGGAGCTGGATAAATTGAAAATTCCAATTTAGACTTTTTTCCATAATCAACACTCAAACGTTCCATTAATAAACTGGTAAATCCTGATCCAGTGCCACCTCCGAAAGAGTGAAAGACCAAAAAACCCTAAAAATATAAAAACTTATCTAGAACACATAGTAAATATCACAGTTAAAATTAATTAAAATTGGGATTACAATCAAAAGTTGACTGGAAATAAAGAGGAGAGCAGAATAAGCATTTCAACATCCAGCACACTGACGGTAAATTACCTGACCATTAGGTGGTATTATTATTGATATCGTACATGTGATATTTTGTTTTGCTAGTGCTGACAATAAGATGTGATTTTTGGTTCTAGTTCAAGTACAAGTTCTGTAATATTGACAATTGAAAAAATAATGTCCCGTAAAAATTTTTAGGAGTTATTTACGTAATTATTACGATTTACGGCAATAATTATGCTCATAGTATTTCAGTTGCTGGTGTTCCTCCAAAGTGTATGACTTTGAGCACATCACCTCTAAAAATGCAAGTCACTATTGCTTGCAAAACGTCTAGAAGAATAATATATTACGGTACGCCAGACAAAAGTCGAAGTTCCGTCACTGCTTGAAGTTGACGATCGAGGCAAAGCCGAAGGCGTCATGCACGCCGTGGTGGGCCTTCGACTTTCGTCTCGCGTACCGAATGCTATTTTTCTTGATCCTCGGGGGAAATTAGCCGGAAGAGTATAAGTTTTTGGAAAAAACACCTTGTAAATGCAGTCAAAACAGTCAGCTGACAGCCCGTGACAAAGTCAAGCTGTTAGCGTGCGTGTCGAAAGTTATTACTTTCCACACGGTATAAAGAAAATTTGTAATGGATTCAAGTGATGCTTTCGCCATTGAAAACAGTGGGGAAAGTACGTACTTCCCACCAGGGGATCAAGAAAATTATATTTCGAAAACGAATTGAAGAAGCTTCACTATAACTCATTCACAATTTACAACAAATAACTCATGTAATGCGATACACATTGAAATACGGGCGTTAAAATTATTGAATTTGGAACTGAAGCGCTTTATCATCTTAACTGAATATAGTGAGGAATTTATAGCTCTTTAAGTAAAATTATTTCATTTTTTAAATTGTCTTTTATACTCTTATTATTTGTAGATTAATGTGGCTTTTATGTAGATTTACTCCAGAAAATCGCATAATTGATGCGCAATATTTAGACTCTTAAAAAAAGCGTTTGAAAGCCAGCGTTTTGACATCGGAAAAGCAGCAGAGGATTTTGTGCTCCATTGGCATCAGAAACGGCCAAAGAGTGGAAAGAAAACGGTGATAACCCACTGAAGAAAGTGCTTTCTAGAACGGGAGTTATGTGGAAAAATAGGTTTTGGAAAGGTTCCAACATAAAGCAGTAATTTAAAAATAAATCAGTACTGTTTATACCGGGTGTCAGAAAATGGTGCGACCAACACCTCACGATGTAGTTCTTGAGAAAAAATTAGTGGTACATCGCTATTTTTCGATATTTCATTTTTTTCGATTTCATTTTTTTCGAAATTTCAAGAATAACTGATCTACACGCCGTTAAAGTTCGATTTCTTAAAAGATTTTTTTAAATAACTTTTTTCTTGGTTAAATGGAGGTTAAATTTAGCACACTTATTATTTATGATCATTCGTATTTTTCAATTCGTTAATACTAAGGGGTTGAACTCACCCATTACTAAATAACTTATCTCTAAAATGGGTAATTTTTCAGAAAATCTACCTTTTCTTGATTCCCTGGTGGAAAGTACGTACTTTGGCCACGCATGCTGACAGCTTGAATTTGTCACTGACTGTCAGCTGACTGTTCTGACGGTATGATTTTTTAAGTTGTTTTTCAAAACCTTATACTTTTTCGGCTAATTTCGGGTATCAATTTCAAGCAGTGTATATGTCAAGCCTTGTATATGACACACTCTGGTATTAATGAGTAAAATTTCTTGCTTAGTTTTTCGCAAAAATTTCAGTTTAGAAAGATGATTACTGTTTTAACTATTTCGCTAAATGCCCAAAGCGAACATCTGCAGAAGAATGATGCAAAGTTGTTATCACTTGTATATCAAATGGTTGGAAAAGTCGATTTTTCTTTTTTTACAGATCCTTTATTTAATACAGTGAACCCCAGGAGCAATTCAACCAAAAGCAATCCAATTTTTTACCACAATGTATAAATAAATATGGCATAAAAAGTTCACATTTGCAAATAAAAATTGTCGAGTCCGAGCTTTTTTTCAAAAACAGTCTTCTGAATTTTATTGAGTTTAGACATTACTGCTGGGACTCAATGTATATTGAAAGATAAATATATGCGGATTTTTTAAGTAGTAAGTGTGCAAAAAAGTGCTAACGTACCCGCCTGATAAGTCTGCGTAGTAATGTATAAAATTCTTCGTCGTGCGTGATTCTTATAAATAGATTCATATTATTGCATGCATGCGAGTATCTAACGCATGACGGCTTCGGACTTTAAATTTGCGAAATAGATGGAGGATTGAGACCTCTTTTAATGCAATTAAAAACTATTAATAAAAAAATATTGCATGCAAAAAAAGACTGAAAAAAATTAGTGGTTCAAAAATGTCCGTGATTTGATGACAGCTTTTTGAAACAGAATGAATAAATAAATAAAATATGAATACCGATAAGCTTTTCAAATTACCGAGTTCATTTTACACTCCGGTTGATTTTTTTCAACAATTTACTGTTATACCGACAATAATATAGAGAGAAAACTGTCACCATCTGCAGCCAATGCTATAGAGTTTTCATTTTCTGTTTAAACTTGCGGTTTAAATAACCATTCAATCTATTACCTTTTTCTGGTGCTTTAGATTAAAATTAGAAATTCTCACTGATAGCTGAAGGGGCTTTAATTTATATGGTTTCTGAATACTATAATTCTAGTGCCGCTGCCCATGTAATATAAAATTGTCGAGCATTAACTGGCATGGAGTTTTTTTATAGTATAGTGCCTCTATAAATCACAGTCCCAGTTTTTATGATCAGGACATCAGGGATGATTAAAACAACACTTTTTAAGATTAGTTCCGTTTGTTTTTTCTGTTTGACATACGTATTTGATGATTTTTTCGTATATGGCGTCGTTTCTAGACAAAAAGTCTGGCGTAGAATTTGTAGAACCAAACTAGTTCATGGGGTGCGTTATCAGGAGATAATCAAGATAATAAGATCAGGAGATTTTTTTTAAATTTCTTTATTATTACAATCTGTCATGATATATGTAACATGTTACATATGATATATGTAACATGATTAGAGATTATAATCTTCTATAATCACAAGTTTCTCATCACTTTACGCTCGGAAATTACTTTAATTAGCTAATTAAAATCGGTTACTTATGTCTGTTGGGTAAAATTTTTTTAGTCGCATTGTTAAGGGCGGGTTCATCAGGCCTACTAAGGTGGCAGGCGATGCGATCTTGGTACTTAGAGTGGAATCTTTGAATCTCTTCTTGTATGGTAGCTTGATTGAGGTTAGTGTGGAGTGTTCTGTTTGAAAGGTACCAGGATGAGTTGGTAATCGTACGGAGTGTTTTTGATTGGAACCTTTGAATAATAGATAAGTTCGATTTGCTCGCTGTGCCCCATAATTGGACACCATAATTCCATATTGGCTTCAGGATACATTTGTAGATTAAAATTTTGTTTTCGAGAGATAGTTTGGATTGTCGACCAATCAGTTTTTTTATGTTTAGTTCCTTCCGCTTAGCTTGGATATGATGTTTCCATGTTAATCGGTGATCCAGATGCATGCCCAAGTATTTTATGTGTTTTGTTTGTGGTATTTGTTTACCGTTGAGGGTGACATTTGGACACGTTTCTCGTCTTAATGTGAATGTTACGTGTGAAGACTTCGATTCGTTTACTTTTATTTTCCATTTCTGCAGCCAATCTTCTAACATGTTAAGGTTTTCCTGTACTTTCTTAGAAGCCAGTGAATGATTCTCATCTACTGCTAAGATTGCTGTGTCGTCTACAAAGGTAGCCAGAGCGGCCTTTTTGTTGCAGCTAAAGTCCGCTGTGTATAAAAAGAACAAAACGGGTCCCAGCACTGAGCCTTGGGGAACACCTGCAATATTATTATAAGATTTGGATATCGCATCATCTACCTTGACTTGAAACGTTCTGCCTTTTAGGTATGAACTAAATAGTAGATAAAATTGGGGTAGGTTTTTTAAAATTTTGTAGAGTAACCCTTTATGCCATACTCTATCGAATGCTTGTTGTGCGTCTATAAACACTGCAGAGCAATATAGTTTATTCGTTAGACATTCGGAGATTAATTTAGATAGACATGGAAGTAAACTTATTGGTCTATAAGATGATAGCAAATGACTCTCCTTTCCAGGCTTCGGGATCATGATGATTTGTGAAATTTTCCATTGCTTTGGAGTATAAGAGGTGCGTATTATGGCGTTGAAAAGTTGGGTTATGAATACTATTGCTTTCTTTGTAAGTTTTTTAAAAATATGTGATGTAATTAGATCGTGTCCAAAAGCTTTTTTATTTCTTAACAAATGAATTTCTTTTTTGATTTCCGTGGGAGAGAACCATTTTAGTGGCAGATCTAGTGGTAGTGGACATGTAAGAAAGTTTTCAATTTCCTCTGTCCAGTCATTGTTGGCCGTAACCGAGTGAGGTTTGAAAACTTCGGATAGATGGTTAGCAAATGCATCAGCTTTTTCTTGATTAGTTCTAGCCCAATTTCCGTTGTGTTTCATAGGGGGGTTGTGCACCTTGGGTCTTTTAATTATTCTAGTGGCCCTCCATAACGAGTACTCGTTGTTTGCGGTCGTAGAAAGACTGTTTAAATATTCTTGGAACGTGTCATTTCTGCGTTGTTGTAGCAAATCTTTGAGCTGCTTCGTTGCTAAATTGACTTTTTCTTTGTCACTATGGCATCTAGTGGTTTGCCAGATTTTTCTAAGTTTTCTTTTTTCTGTGATTTTTTTAAAGTTTTTTTCTGGATAGTTAATAATGTTATGCTGCTGTGTTTTAATTGGTGTAGACTCTGATGCCGCATCATGGATTATTTTGGTTAGTTGTTCTGTGGCGTAATCGATGTCTTCATGAGATTTCAGTGATTGCCTAAGATTTATTTTTGAATCAATCTTGGTTGCAAGTAGTTTCCAGTCGGTCAGTGGATTTGTTAATTTTGGTTGCTGCGTGTTGATAATCACTTTTGTACTGATTACTAATATAACTGCAGAATGATCAGATGATAAATCTAGTTTAGATTCAGCATGAACATAGTTGTTAGATATTCCGCTGGAAATAAAGAAATCCAGTAGGTCTGGTACTTTTGTTGAATCGGTCGGCCAGTATGTTGGTTCTCCAGTTGATATGATCGCAAATTTTTTATTGTGGATGTAGTCACAAAAAGTTCTCCTCCAGTCACCTCCAGATATAAATTTGTTTCCCAGTTTTCCGAAGTAATTTTCAAGCTGTTCTTTTGAAATTTTATGTCGTGGGGGACAGTACTGCTGAGAAGGTTATTAGTCCAAGGTCGGTGTTCACTTTTACATTTGTAGCCTGCATGTGGTCTAACTGGTATGCTTCCATTTCATAGTGTATAATTTGATTTTTGATGATAATTGCACTTCCTCCGTGAGCGGTGCCATCAGGGTGTTGAGTGTTGTATATAGAATATCCTGTGATTTTAAAGTATTCTGTTAGTGAAGTGGGTTTCTGATACTAGAAGAATGTCGATTTTGTTTGCTTTGAGGAAGAGGTCAACTTCGTCACGATGTTGGGCAAGTCTGTTAGCGTTCCAAAGAATTATTTTGAGTGTGTAATGGGGCATTTTTGGATATTGTCGTGAGTAAGTGGGTTAGAAGGTTAATTAGTGATGTTAGCTGATCAGCTTGTTTGGTTAGTGTCCCTTCTAATCTGCTGAAAAGAGCATTTAGGTTTCCATTGACTGCGGGAGCGGTATTGATTTCAGGAAGCTTGTTATTTTTTAAGGTTTCAGAGTATGTCCGTTTTCTATGAGGAATTCTGGTTTGTTGTTCCTGGGAGGGAGTAGAAGTGGTACTAAATTTTATGTTATTTTGTCGTGGGTTTGCATTTGTTAGACGATTTTGTTGTTTTTGTATTTCATTGTAAACTGTACAACCTTTAGCCTTGTAGTTAGCAGGATGTGATCTTTCGCATAGAACACAAGTTGCTAGAGAATTTTTGTTTTTAGTGCATGAAGTGGTAGGATGTTCGCCAGTCTCCTCCTACTCAAAGGTCAACCGCACGTGCTTGTGCTGCACCTGCCTTTACCTGAGGCTAAGAAAATATATGTCCTCTAGAATAAGACTCTCCACCAACCCCCAATAGCCAGCGTGGTAGAAGTAGAGCTTAAAAATCCCTTATGTACAAGAGACTTACGGCCCTCAGGATCCTACAGTTCACCGATTTCCGGCCACCATATTAGCCTGTAAAGGCGGAGAAAGGAGGGTGCGAAGAATCACCGGGTAGGACCTGGCTATAAAAACGACGACTGCAGGTTGCTACACTGAATACAAGAACTCTCTCAACAGACGAAACATTGCTGGAGCTGAAAGAGGAGCTCAAACATATAAACTGGGACATTGTAAGATTGAGCGAAATTAGAAGAAAAAGAGAACAACAGCTAAAACTGAAGTCAGGCCACATGTTCTATCATAGAAGAGACAACGACTCGACGAGTGGATGCGCAGGTTTCACAATAAACAAGAAACACACAGGCAAAGTTTTCAGAAAGATTGGTCTAGGATTTTAGAAATTTAGAGGGTTTAGAAGACAGATTCAATATAGAGTAGGCTTAAGAGTGGCATTTTTTGGGCTAAGTCTAAGCCCAAAATATAAACTAAGAGTTATTCAAGTCTTCGCCCCAACACCTACACATTCTGACAAGGAAGTGGAAAGGATTTATGGGGACATTGCAGCAGCGATGGCAGACCAACTCATTACAATCTTATAGAAGATCTAAATGCAAAACTGAATGCTGAGTCTGTTATGGGTGAACATGGATATGGCCAGATGAATGAAAGAGGAAATAAACTCTTTGACTTCCTGGTACACCAGGAACTGGATGAAATGAAGTTATGTTTTTAAAGAGTAAACAAAAGCGCTGGACGGCGGCAAGCCCAGATGAAATTACCAAAAATGAGATCGATTATGTGATCACTAACAGTGACCACAAAATGGTAAGAGCAAGAGTAACTATCAATATAAAACGAGAGAGCCTAAATATGATCATAAAGCGAGCACCTCAAAGGTGGTCTGAAGCTAAAAACCTGAGTGAATACCAGAAAGAGTTAGACCTTGAGCTGGAGAACTCTGGGTTTGCGAGACATGAGAAGGCGAATATCAAAGCAGCAAATAGAGAAATTAACAAAGTTTTAAAAAACGCACAAAAACGGTGGGTGAATAAATAAGACGCCAAAGGATACGGTTAATAAAAACACAAAGTCTCATGAAACAGAGAAGGCAACTAAATTTCAAGCATACCAAAAATGCAGACCAACTACGAATCCGAAATAGTTTAAATCTGAAGAAATAGAAAAAGTAATTGAAAACAGTAAAAGTTTGAAGGTTCTTTGAAGAAATTTCTCCTCTGGTACCAAGAACATATGTAAGCTGGAGAATGAGGCAGGCCGTACTACCTCAAATAAGAAAGACAATTTAAAGTTGGTTGACGACTTTTATACAGTGCTATACATAGAAAAGAAACACAATCTACCTGAGGACCTGGCTCATGGACAAGGAAAAGTTCAAAGGATATTTCTGATATTATCCTGAATGAGTTAAGAGCATCGCTGAAATGAAAATTAATAACAATAATTCGCGAGGCGGAGATGAACTTGTTATTGAATCTATTCAGGCAGAAGGAAATATATTGCTTAAGAATATAATATATTATGTACAACAAGTAACAGCAGCAGTGTAACAAGCCTGCATATTATGCAGGCTTGTCAATGAATGTCTTCTGAAGGGAACAAAACTTTCCCAGTGGGATAATGCAACAAAAAGTAGACATCGCAAAACTATAAAACTATACACCGATTAGCGTATTATCTACAAACTCTTTATTAGGATTATAGGTAAGCGTCTGATACCTAAATTAGATTTGTACCAGCCTCGTGAACAGGCGGTATTTAGAACAGGGTATGGAACAATCGACCACCTCCAAACTATTAAAACTGTAATAGAAAAATTAATTCAGTGTAACATGCCACTTGTCCTGGTATTCATAGATTACGAAAATACTTTCGACCTCATAAATCAACAGAAAATGTTGCTAGCGCTGGTGGACTGTCGTATCGTATATATGATCATCGCTATACTGTCCTATTTAAAAACGTGTACAAGCGAACAACTGCATTTGTAAGGTTACATGCAGGCACAAATAAATTTCAAATCGATGGAGGAGTTCTTCAGGGATACACAATATCTGCGAAACTATTTACCACAGCATTGGAATATGCCTTTAAAAGATTAAACTGGGAAGAAATAAGCATACATTTCGACGGAGAGCTGTTGAGCCACATGAGGTTCGCTGATGACATTGTCATAACTGGCGACAGTATTGATCAGGCACAGTGTAAAAAAGTCGGTTTAAAACTAAATTTTACGAAGCCGCAATGTATGACCAACCTTCTTATGAGCCAGAATATCTCAGTTGACGGTAGGAGCAGGTTGCCTCATATGAATATTGGGGATACCAGATCAGGATTGGCCGAGATAATCAAGTACACCAATAGGCTTGGCGTGGGCGGCATTTGAGAGGTTTAGGGATGTTTTCAAACCAAATATTCCTATCTGTCTCAAATGGAAAAGCCTATTCTCCTGTTCAGTACTAACCTATCCAGCAGAAACGTTAACGCTTTGCTCAGAGATCTATGGAACGGTCAATGATCGGACAGGATACCCAATGTGACTATACGGTATAGGACGGGTGCGACTAATGTCATAGAGATAGTTGCAACTTTGAAGTGGAACTGGGCTCGCCATTTGGCACGAACTACGGATGAAAGGTGGTCAAAGTGATTCTGGAGTGGAGGCCAAAGCATGAAGCATAACCAGACCACCAACAAGATGGACTGACAAGATGAACACAAGACCGAAAGCGGTGGCAGACACTAAGGGAAACCTATGTCCAGCAGTGGACGCAATGGCGATGATGAAGAAAACAGTTCGTTTTTAATTAAAATTATTTTTATAAAAACAAACTAAATTGTCTAAGTGCAAACTGATTTGAACTATTGTAAGGATATTGAAAGATGCTTAGTGCTTATCTAGAAATCAATATTTCCCCATCATCTCAATTGCAATTGATCCAAAAAATGCCTACCTTCCTAAGAAACAAAGTTATTGACATACAGTAATAAAGCCGATAGTTTTACAAATTTTAACAAGCTGTATCTCAAAAACAGTTTGCTTTCGAACATAGTGTGTTTATAAAGCAAAACATGCTTGTCTTGATGCCCACTGCCACCCTTAAGGGTTTATCTGCTTGCTTTAGAACACACTAGCTTTATTCGCGGTAACGATTCAGAACTGATCGCATGCGCGTGGAGGCATTCGGGGACAGATCGCATGCGCGTAGATAAACTAGATGTTCGTGATAAAAAAATTACTCGTTCTGAACCGAAAGTTCTATGTTCGCGGTTCAGTAAGAACTGGTTCAGAACCTGTTCGTTACCGGTTGTAGCAATTCTAAGATTTAAGTATACAAATTCATCTGATTCTACCACAATTTTGTCGTCCGTCTGCTCGATCCTGTTCAGTCCTGTGAGTTCGATCCCGGCCACAATCGCTAGCGTCAGTTAGACGCTGCGTCTAACCTTGAGAATGGAACAAGTTCCATTCTCCGCGACTGTCGCTCGCAGACCCTAGTAACGGCTACAGAAAGCCGCTCGTGTGCGGGACTGTATTAAAAATAATGGGTTCTATTTTCGGCGTCAAAACTGTCGCGCTATAAAACTCGCCCGTTTGCGGGTGCCCTTTGAGGTCGATTTCCTTCGATCAATTGATTTTCACTATTTGATAAATGACTTTGCCAGAGAAAAAATCATGAAATTTTTTTAAATTGAAAAATAATTTCTTAATCGCTATTAAGTTGAAGAATTATTAAGTTTTTTATGTTTTTTTCCTGAGCTTTATGTATTCCATTTTTGGACGTAACGCATTTAATTAACTATTTTTAATCAGAACGCCAATGTAAACATAAACAGGGAATTGCCTACACTTTTAAAAATGAGTTGAAAATTCAGTTACTTTTCAGTAAGTTTTATAACTGAAAATGCAGTTTTTGGTTGTTGAAAATAAATTCATGTACATTTTAATTGAATTTTCAGTATTCTTACTGAAAATCCAAAATTCAATAACATGGAACTGAAAATTCAATAACATGGAACTGAAAAGTTTTCAGATCTTAACCTATTTACAGGTACTGATTGAAGATCTTGTCAGTACGTACTACAACGGACGAATTATCAGATTTACAGCCAATAGAAAAACTTTCGCATCATCGTATCATCGTATAAACGGATGTATGGCTTGATCTCTTCTCTCGATAGTGACGTGATAAC